GAAGAGAGATATACCTTGAAATCTTCGAAGGCAGCCTGGCATTCCGGGGTCCATTCAAAGGGACTGGCTTTTTTCATGATCTGGAAAAAAGGGATCGCCTTATCAGCCAGCTTGGATAAGAATCTGCTCAGGGCCGCTAGACGCCCGGTGAGACGCTGCACATCTTTCAGGTTCTTCGGGGCCTCCATGTCCATAATTGCCTTCACCTTTTCCGGGTTAGGCTCGATCCCCCGCCCGCTCATCATGTAGCCGAGGAATTTGCCGCCCCGGACGGCGAAGGCACATTTCTTCGGATTGAGCCTCATGCTGGCCTTCTCCATGATGTCGAAGACCCTCTCCATGTCCTGGACATGGTCCTCCTTTCTCTTGCTCTTGATCAGGATGTCATCCACGTAAGCTTCCATTGTCTTCCCGAGTACATCTTTGAATAACATCCCAATCATCCTCTGAAAGGTAGCCATGGCGTTCCTCAGGCCGAACGGCATGACGATGTAGCAATACACGCCGTCCGCTGTAACGAACGCCGTTTTTTCGGCATCATCGGGGTGCATGAACACCTGATGGTAGCCCCTGAATGCATCCATGAAGCTGAGCAGCTCGCAGCCTGCCGTCTCATCCACCAGCAAGTCGATCCTCGGAACAGGGTAAGGATCCATCGGACAAGCTTTGTTCAGGTCCGAGTAATCGACGCACATCCGCCAAGTGTCGCCCTTCGGGGCTAGTACCACGTTGGCCAGCCACTCCACGTGGATGACCGGCCGGATGTGTTTAATGCTGAGGAGGGTTGCCGTCTCCTTCCTGATGAAATCGCGTCGGTCGGCCGCCATATACCTTTTCTTCTGCTGTACAGGCTTGGCATCCGGCCGCACGGCGAGTCTATGGCATATGAGGTTGGGGTCGATGCCCGGCATGTCCTCTGGCCCTCTGGCGAATAAGACCCTGAACCTTCGGAGGACGGCTATGACCCCCGCCCTGACTTCTGGCTCTAGATCTGCACCGATGGACACCCTCCTGTCCGTCGGGTCATCGAGCTCGATTTCTTCCAGCAGAGTTGCTGGTTCCAGATGAGCGTCCAAGTCGGCCTGTTTGGCCTTCTCGGAGATGCTGTTGACCCGAGCCTCCCGCTCGTTGAGCTTCTCCATGGCCTTCGTGTAGCAGGCCCTGGCCATATGTGGGTCCGTACGTGCTACCCCCACCCCAGTGTCGGTGGGGAATTTGAGGCATGAGTGCCGTACGGAGCATATGGCCCCCAAGTCTTCCAAGCCGGGCCGGCCCAAAATGGCGTTGTGGGCGCATTTCAGGCGGACCACGACGAACGTCATGCTGATCCGGGCCGTATGAGGGCCGTCGCCGATCTCTACCGGCAAGGCGATGGTGCCCTCGGCGTCAATGCAGTCCCCGGTGAAGCCGGACAGCGGGGTGCGCAGAGGGTGCAGCATGTCCTTCCTGAGCTTCATTCCTTCGAAAGCCTCCCAGTATAGGATGTTCACACTGCTCCCAGTATCAACAAGGACGCGGCGGACGATGGCATCATTCACATCCATGCTGATCACCAGCTCGTCTCTGTGCGGCGCCGGTGACATTGGCAGATCAGCGGGGCCGAAGGTAATTGCCTCGGTCTTATTGCGCTTGGTGGGGGGTGCTGATACGGAACCCACATAGAGTGATCTCTCAAATTTTTTCCGCTCGGCGGGTGTATCTCCTGTCTCAGCGCCCCCGAAGATCACCTTGATCTCCAACTTCTTCTTCTTGCCCTTTGGGCCAAGGGATCCCTCCGGACGTTTATCTGCACTCCGATAATCCACGTCCTGAGGTTCTGCTTCGCGCCGGTCGTCGCGGCGCCATGTCTTGTGCCTTGGGTTCGGCTTCTGCTGACTGTTTTTGTTCAGCAGCTGGGTGAACTCGCCCAAGTACCCCTGACGTATCAGCTCGTCGATCGCTTTCTTTAATTGGCTGCAGTTGTCCGTCAGGTGGCCGACCCTCTGATGGTATTCACAGTAAGCCGATTGGTCAAGCCCCATATACTTCTTCATATCTTGGGGTTCCGTCAGGAGGCCCTTGTCCTTGATGGCCTCGAAGATTTGGCTCACTGGATAGGCCAAAGGTATATAGCGGTCGTCTGGCCGCGTCTGACTGTCTCCGGACGGAGCCTTCCAAGGGACCATCGCCCCGTCCACCCTCTTCTTTTTGCTTGGGGGAGAGGGCCCGGGTCCCGGTTTAGGTCCGAGCCTGTCCGCCATCTTCCTAGGCTGGGCCGCGGGAACTCCGTCCCGCTGCCTGATCTCCTCCTCAATGGAGGCATACTTTTGTGCCCGGGCCAAAACCTCGGTGTAGTTGGTGCCGGGATTCCTCCTTAGGTCCCGATACAGATCCCCTGTGGCCAGCGCACTGGTGAACATGTTGGTGGCCAGACGTTCGTCCAGATCATCGACCTGCAGTACCTCGTCCCTCCACCTCACCAGGAACCTAGCCAGCGGTTCGTCCCGCCCTTGCTTGATGTGGGCGAGTGCCGTGACATCCTTCCTGGGGGTGGTGCTGGCAGCAAACTGTGCCATGAACTGCCGGGAAAGCTGTTCATATGAGTCAATGGTGCCTGGCCTCAACTGGCCGAACCATTCCTGAGCTGGCCCCCTGAGGGTGCTGAAGAACAATCTGCAGATGGCCTCGTCCGATGCTCCCAGCATGGACAGGTTCCCTTGGTAGCTTATCAGATGGGCCTTAGGATCACCAGCCCCATTATACACCAAGTTCCCCGGGGGCCTGCAGTCCCGGGGGATCTCGACGCTCATCACCCGTGGAGTGAAAGGTGATGTGAGAGAGAAGGAGGGTGTGGCCGAGCCGGCGTCCGCCCGCCTGTTCATCTCGGCTATCTGCCTCTCCATGCCTTCCAGCCGTGCGTCCTGTGCGGCCCTTCCGGGGGACACAGGGGGCGCGGCTTCGGGGGTGGCATTCTGCTGAGCGGCCACAACATCGTGCGGCCGCCTGAAGATCTGCGCACCTCGCCGTTGGAAACGTCGTCCAACGGTGTTGACCCTTGGGGTCTCGTCTCCCCGCGGAATCTGGCGAGGAATCGATGGTGTGAGAGCCCTGGATGCAGCGATGCTAACCCTGGTCCGCCCTCCCGTTTCACGGGAACCTGAACCCCCACCTAGCCGCTCGTGGACTGAGGGCCGGTGGTCACTGGATCCCGTCGTATCATCGTACGACTGCATGCGGCGTATGGGAGAGAGGGGCGTTCGCTGAGTGCTTGCAGAGTACACCTGCTCTCGGGCCTCCCGCTCGTCCGCCATGCGACGCATGGTGTCTGCGAGTTCACGCATGAGGCGGGGATCCTGCCTGGCCTCCAGGGGAATGAGGTCAGTGATACCCCTGTTTCCCCCTGAAGTCCATATTGTTGCGGATAGTTCCGAGTTCTGGCCGCGATTCCGCCGGCTCGACTCCAGACGCTCGGAGAGATCACGCTGGGTGTTGCTTCCTGACATCGTGTTTGCAGTAGGTAGACTTAGTAGCTGTTTGGGAGAGTTTCTGGAAACTTTTCGCTCAGTTTCCCACAGACGGCGCCAGTGTTGAGGTTTATTCCTTCAACCCGTGGACCCAACACGTAAGCCCAAAGGTTTCGAGTGGAGTGAGTGTATGAATGTCTAGCCCAACAACTATTAGATGAATCAGGAAACAAGAGTAATAGCAGGCAATGTAAATAGGTATTATTAACTCCGTAATAACTCCCCTAAATACAATCTACTTGCTAGACAAGGCACGTCGGCCGTTCGTCTTACAGGGCAGTTAGAAATGCTGCGAGTAAGAATGCTGAAGCTAGTATGCTAAGAATAGGAAGTTGCCAACCCTTTACAATGGAATAAATGCTTCTATTTATACCCGCCAATGGGCAGGTGGCTGTAGTGACGTGGCAGCCTGTGGACCGCTGGTGTCCCAACTACCAAATCTTTAGCATTAAATGCACTTCCCGCCAGAATCTAGGTTTCCCGCCGGATTAGTGGGGACGTTCGTCCACCGGGAAGTGAGTTGGATTGCTCCAAGGGACCCTTGGGAGATATCGGCTGTTCGTCTCCCGGCCTTGATGGATACTCACCATGTGGACTGGGTTTCCCCCGATGACTGCAGGCTTGCTCTGTGGACGTTCGTCGCCATCCCTGGTGGCCCGTGGTTCTGCTCCTTGTCCCTGCATAGACGTTCGTCGGGATGAGCTGCTGGGCCTGAGTCCTCCAACACCAGACGTTCGTCCATCCTCAGGGAACATGGGCCTGTGGGCTGGCCTAGTGTCCTAACTGGACGTTCGTCTGGCAAGATGGGTTAGTGGGCCGGACCTCGGCTTGGGCCCTTAACCCAACACCACTCTTATATCCACATTTGTACACATTTATGTTTATGAAGTTTTTTTTGTCTGTGAACCTGGTTCACACTCAATATTTTGCACAAAATATTATGCACATACAAACAAAATATTATCTGTGAATCAGGTTCACAGACAAAAAAAAACTTTCACAAACATGGTGGATATAAGATGAGTATAAGAGTGAGTACATCAAACATTGTTCTAATCAATAATGTTGATTACATATACATCCTTTAACTTGATGAGAATTGTGCAATCAGAATCTTCTTTACCTGTTGGTGCAAGTAAGAAGATTAGAAATTACTGGCATGTAAAAATGATCGGATTGCTTAATTTTCAACAAGTTAATAATGTATTTACAAATTTTTTGGTTCATGGGTCTACAAAATCATACTCCCTCCGGTCTTTATTAAAGTTCGCAGTTAGACTTCACATAGATTAAGAAAATAAATTTGACTTTACTGTGGAATGCACTGTTTTGCACTGTTTTGCACTGTTTTGCACTGTTTTGTTTCCTAAAATGGAAATGTGAACTTAAATAAGAGATATCTCAAAAAGGAAAGTGAGAACTTTAATAGGGACGAGTAAATAATTGAAGGACTCATTTGCCTTTTACTCGTGTATAAATTCCCAATACTTACCTCCCAAAATATACCGCATAATTATCACATAACCAAGCAAATTAACCACCCCCGAAAATCAATTTGATAGTAAAATCTATGTTGGATCTCATGGATTCCACAACCATCAGCCCATTTGTATTCTACCTTCCTCTCCTCTTCCCACTGTATCTGATCTCTAAACACTTCCACCGGAAATTCAAGAACTACCCGCCGGCCCCGTTCCTCACCCTCCCCGTCGTTGGCCATCTCTACCTCTTTCAGAAGCCTCTCCACAAAACCTTAACCAATATTTCCAAGCGCTACGGACCGGTCGTCCTACTCCAGTTCGGCTCCCGGAAAGTTCTCTCTGTGTCCTCTCCTTCCGCCGTGGAAGAATGTCTGTCGCGGAACGACGTTATTTTCGCGAATCGTCCCCGTCTCCTGGCCGGAAAGCATATAGGGTACAACTACACCTCCCTAGCCTCGGCGTCCTACGGCGACCACTGGCGCAATCTCCGCAAAATCATCTCCACCGAAATCCTGTCCAATAATCGCCTCCAGACGCTCCACGAAACTCGCGCAAATGAGGTGAAATCAATGATTCGGAAGCTGGATTCGTCTTCGAAAGCGGGTTCTCCGGTGGAAATGAAGACTCTGTTTTCCGAGCTCATGTTGAACCTGCTGATGAGGATGATCGCCGGAAAACGTTATTACGGCGACGACAAGGAAGTCGACGTCAAGGAGGCGGCTCGAATCAGGGAGATTGTCAGGGAGGTTGTGCTACTCGGTGGGGCCACCAACGCCGGAGACTACGTGCCTTCTTTGAGTAGGGTGTCCGTAAAGTTGGAGGAGAGTTTGCGGCAGCTACAACTCAAAAGAGATGATTACTTGCAGGATCTGATTAGGGAGTGCCGGGAAAAGAAGGTCAACGGCGGCGTTGACGGGGGCGGTGAGGCGGCAGGGAAAAAGAAATCATTTGTTGGTGTACTGTTGACCCGGCAAGCAGAGGAACCCGAATATTACAAAGATGAAATTATCAGAGGCCTCATTGGGGTGAGCTGCTTTAATTCATTTCCTTTGACTCAGTAATTCTTTTTACAAATTACGTAGTTTATTATTTTAAAGGTATGGTACCTTATTCACCGCAAACAATTAGGATGTTTTTACTTGGACTGCAATTTGCTGGTCTGGTCTGGTTTCTTTGTATTTTTATAACTATCCAAGTCTGGTCTGGTCTGAACTGGTCTGGTCTGGTCTGGTCTGGGGCAAATTACAGTCCAAGTAAAAACATCCTTACTATGTATTGTAATTGTAATGATGAGGTAATTAGGTAATCAACGATTCTTGATGTCATTATTATATACACTTTTACACACAAAAAAAAACGATTTTTTACACTATTACGCTTTTACACACTTTTATCAACGATTTTTTTTACACACTTTTACACGGGTCGATGAAAGTTTCTATTGTACAACAGTAATTTGTGCGTAAAAGTCTCTTTTCTTAGGTAATTGACACATAAATTAGATGAGGATAATAATTGAATTGATTACAATCAATCCAGGTAGTTTGTCTCTATTAACTTTAACACAAACTAATACTCCCTCCATCTCTAATAACTTTGTTAAAGTTGACTGGCACAGAGACTAATAAAATAAAAACTGTATGGTTGAAGTTTGTACAGAGAAGAGAGAATTAACTGGAACCACAAATTTTTTACTTAAAAGGGAAAATAGTAAAGTTAATGGGACATCCCAAAGTTGGCATATTTATAAGGAGGGATGAAGGGAGTAATAAAATAATGAATTGGATCCATCAAAGAATATTAGGTATAGTATTCTTAGTTTTTTCGGATTTGGAGTCTCTACCTTGCTCTAACAGCAAGTTAGGTTATCTGGCCAAGGAAGATCGTCTGATCGAGAGCTCAATGGTGGGATACTACTAGGGTCCCCTTTTACGCATATCTCGAGACGCTCTTCTTCCCATCCGACCGTTGGTTGCGCAAGGCACTCTGCCTATCGGGCAGAGGATCTCAAACCAATTTTTCATGTGGACCGTGGTGATTATATGTATTGAGGTATGTTGACATCACTTAATTAAGGGTGTTAGACATTCAACTACATGTTAATGATGCATCTAATGCATTAATGTTCTCGTTGCCTTTATATTTAATCTCTGTTCTAAAAATCGTTCTAGGCGCCCGATTAGTCCCCGCCTAGGCGCTACCGCGCTAGGCGGTGGTCGGGCGCTCCGATTTTTGTCTAGACGCTCCGACTAATTGGTTTGGCGTCTAGGTGAATTAGTCGACCGCCTATGACGCCTAGTTGCCCGCCTAGAGCGCCTAATCAGCCGCCTAGACCATATAAATTCGCCGAACATTACTTTACTTTTAAATTTTATCTTTCTAAGCGATATACGTACTTTAACTTTAGCCATGAATATAAAAAAATGAAGTTTTAAATTAAGATAAAACTATATATGTTTGTATATATACCTAAATTTTATCACTAATTATATTTATACCATAATGAAGTTTAGTGATTAATTATCATATACTGCGTATGATTAAATGTGAGAATTCTATCTTTCATGTTTGTTAATGTATATGTATATGTATTTTATACACACAAAAATACAATATTACTTATCTTATTTATGCAAAAATATAGATAAAAATTCAATTTCTATATCTCCGACTAGTCCCAAATTAGGCGCCCACCTAGCCGCCTAGGCGCTAGGCGCTGGGCTGACGCCCGACTAGCGCCTAGCGCCTTTTAGAACATTGTATTTAATTTTATCAAAATTTTAATCTCAATTGCTACACTCAAATAGAGGTCTCCGGTACTTTCTAAATATATACTCTCTCCGGTTTTTAATAAATTTCACACTTTTCTTTTCGGGACGGTCTAAAATAAACTTCACACTTCCTTATTTCCTTTTTTGGCAAAGAAATCTACATCAAAACAGTGTCAAAAAGTGTCTCAACAGTGCCAAACAGTGTCTCTACAGTGCCACACAGTGTCAAACAGTACCTCAACAGTGTACTCTACAGTAAAGTCAAATTTCTTTCCTTATTTTGTGTGAAGTCAAAGTGTGAAGATTACATAAAACCGGAGGTAGTATATTTGAATTATCAAAAGTGAAATACATATTGTCTTTACATCCTATCTTTTCATCCAAATACATTTTATAAAATACTCCGTAGTTTAATAGTCCACCTAAAGTTAAAAAATTAAAGACTACTAGAAAACGGCGCGCAAACTCTTATTCCTCTAAACCAGGAGTACCTTTTAGAATAAATAAACTTTATCATCTGTATATCTCATTATCTCGTATATCGGTCATTGTTTTTTCAACAAATTTGAGAGAGGTGAAGCATATAATTATATGTTCTATAATAACAAATTTTATAGATGTTAATTCTTAAATTGTCTCATAGGCGATTAATTGAAATTGTTGAAGTTATTAAAGAAGCTTCCTTTGATAATTTCCATTTATTTCAAATACTTCATGAGAATGAAGTATCAACAAAATACTTCTGGGTTCTTATCTTAATTTTTTTCTTTATGTGATGGAAAATTAATATGAGGTGAAGGGAGTAAGGGACTACTCTATGTATTTGTGTTGCGCAAGAGATCTCACATCAAATAAATATGAGTTGCTAACCTACACCGACAATAAAAAATGTTTGATTATATCATAATACAGGTTATCTTAGCAGCAGGAATAGACACATCATCTGCAACAATGGAATGGACACTCTCACTACTTCTAAACCACCAGCAAATCCTGAAGAAGGTTCAAGAAGAAATCGATGATAAGGTGGGATATGAGAGACTAGTAGAAGAATCAGATATGGTTGACCTCCCCTATTTAAATTGCATAATCAAGGAAGCAATGAGAATGCACCCTGCTGCCCCTCTGGCAATCCCTCATGAGTCCTCAAAGGAGTGCACTGTAGCTGGCTATTGCATCCCAAAAGGGACGATGTTGTTGCTCAACTTGTATTCCATCCAAAGAGACCCCAAATACTGGGATGAGCCGGAAAGGTTCAAGCCAGAAAGATTCAAAGACTTAGTAGCTAATACTACTCCTAAAGAACAGGGATATAAATGGATGCCTTTTGGGTTAGGTAGGAGAGGATGTCCAGGAGAAGCACTGGCATGGCGCATGGTCGGGATGTCATTGGCATCGATTATCCAATGCTTTGATTGGGAAAGACTTGGAAGCGAATTGATAGATATGAGTGAAGAAATTGGTGTGACTATGCCCAAAGCAACGCCTTTGGTGGCTAAATGCAAGACACGACCTTTTGTCACTAACCTTCTTTCTACCTATACAACATGAACTTCTTTTGTTTTTCTTTATTGTGTAAACATGATTTTCGTTTGATATTAATGTCATGAAGTCTTTCTAAATCACATCCTCATCAAATCGTATTGGAATCTGTCATAGTTACCCCATGCAACTACTTGCTTAACCAGGTGAAAATTTTAAAATTGCTTATATTTTTAATGTAAAAATTTATGTGTAAAAATTTATCTGTAAAAATTCTTTATTCCGGCCCTATCCAACTCTTACTCGTGGCTATGCCCCTAAAGCCTAGGCACAAAATAGGGGAAATGCGGGAGGTCTTGCTCCCAATGAGTCTTCCTTCCTTCACGGAGTTGCTCAGTGGCTAAGAAGGAAGAGGATGGTGACTAGGCTCGAGTTCGCGTGGTGGGAGGACCCCCCGGATTCGGGGGCAAGGAAGCCATGTACGATTGTACGGTTGGAGGACCCTTCATGATTCAGCCTCAAGAAAGTCCTGCTGGATTCGTCCTGTGATACCAGTACCGACAAAGACCGACTGTGATCAGATCCAGAGTCAATAGACTCCTGGATCATAAAAATGATATAAGAATGTTTCTTTAATTTTAAATAGACATACAATCTGGGTGAATTAAAATTCTATCGGATATTCGGATGACACACATAAATCAAGAAAAAACTCTATTTTATTTTATAGTAACATTACTTAGAACGAAATATCAAATTTGCTTAGTTTAAAATTTGTTATAGCACTGTTATGCCGTTCCATTTACGGATCACAAGCTTGGATATTAAACATATGATTTACTTACCAAGTTATGATTTGGACGGTTGAATTAAGCATATTTTCTTTTGGACTGTTTTCAGTCACAGACCAAACTAGATTAGATCAGATCAGACTTCTGTAGTTATAAAATATACAAATTGATGAAGATAAGAGGATTAATTATTATGATAATTAATTCGTGATAGAGTTGACAATACACTTTTAGTATTAATCCTCACATAATCTCTCACGAACAAGAGATTCAGCACTCGAGAGATTAAATATAAATTCAATTTTATTAATGTCCGTTATGTTGAGAATAAGAACCATCTCTTCTAGTTGGATTTATCCATGTTTTTATTCTTTCATAAGTTTTACAAATGTGGGCATTTTTATTTCTAATTAGACCTTTATTTCTATACTTAGAGTTTGATATAAATTACGTGTATTCGTTTGAGATTTTAAAATAATTTAATATCTCATTGTTTTATCTCAAATTACATTTGGGATATTTATGCATGTGATTTCCTTAAATGTATATATATGAATTTTATTCATAAAAGAATGGATACAAAGGAATATATCCGTAAAATAGTAAAATGATATGAACCTCGTTCGACCTGATATCATGACACTTTGAAGTATATGAATGACAGTTGTAAATTTATACATAACAAGCATGCGTTTTATCCCATTGTGATGATACACAATAAATTAGGCAATGAATATTTATTCATTGACGTAATTCTTTATTTTCAATGGTGATTGATTAAGGTGATGAACTGCCTAAATATTTCATATCTAAATGAATAGAATTGTACTCGTGACCTCTAAATGAATCTAGAAGTCACCAAAGTTTATTACGTTCAAAATTTGTCCATCACAATGATTTTCACATATAATGGAATCATGTCATGGGTTCATGTCTTGTGAGCGGACTCTTATCAAAGTAACAAAAGTTGCTCCTTATACACCTGTGTGAGGCTTCTCCGAACTCTCACATTGCTTGGGCATCAATGCCCACCAAGCTACCCTCAATGGGTATTCACATAGAAACTCATTATAAAAATGAGATTGAAGATATCATTTTACATCTAATAAATGCAAAACAAAATGCATATTTCATGAATTTATGAGTCAAAATGAGCATTGACTCATTCAAATTTTAAAATAACTGATTCATCATTAATCATTCGAATAAAGGATAAAAGGGATCCGACACAAGGAGATAAATTGTTGGTTTTAGCATTGTTTAATAACAAATCAATACACATCTTCTTAAGTACGAGAAGACATATTTACTCTCCATTATGACTTACAAATATTTTAGAAGCTATGTCAGTTATTTCTTAAAGTTTACTCCTTAGCAACAATAGAATCGAGACTTGTCTATGCCAAGGATATAAAATGAAGATATTTCATTTTTTCATACTATGTGACACATGAGAGTTATCCACCAAAATGCGGGCCATTTAAGTAATTATGGTTTGGTAGAAATCTCCTCATGCTATCTATTTTCTTGTTACATAAAATGTTGCATTTACAAAACTTCTAGCAAAACTTACTCATTTAAAGGCTCACCAATCAACCAATCAAGTCTGTATGACTTGTTATTGCTAGATAGTTCTCATCAGAAGTAATTGATGAGTATTGCATTTTTGTCGAGATCAATGAAAATCATCTCACATCCCATGTAACAATAAAGTCTCACTAAAGCTCACATCTAAAAGAATATAGATGATGAATATTATATCTACTATGCACACACGTATATATAATTATTTTCATGGGATTATGCAATATTGCAAGTACTCTTACACATTTGTTTTTAGACCGACAGTAGACAACCACTTTTGTGTATACTAGTTGGTGACTGGATCTTAGCCTGAGATGTTCTATGTATACATATATGGTTGTTAACTAATTGTGCCTAATGCGCCTCCCACAACGCACTATAATCGGTTTTAAAAGACAAATGTTGTTTATGTTGGATATGAACCTCCAATAATAACCGCTACAAGCCTTAACAAATAATGTGTTCATCGCTTTGCGGAATATTACTTTTAATGGGACAACTGATTTTCCTGTCATTAGGGGGAGATTAGAGAAAGAATTCTCTAATTAAATGACAGAATCTTTATGACGGTACATCACTACTCTGTCTCAATGATAAACGTTAGACTTCAAAATGTAACATTGAAGTTGAAGTGTTTATCAATAATTATCATAAATGATTTTAGTAATCAGATTATACACACTAGCTGCAAATATATTCATAAGGCTTGAATTCAAATTAAAAGACACAATGCTAAAGGAAGAAGCATTGCAACCACAAACAGTGGGGTTGTGGTTGAGGCCGTGGCTCATTAAAGGAACAGATGGAAGCCATATGGTTCAATCAATTATCCACCCCAAGTAGTAGAGGGTAGATAAGGCACAAACCAATATATTCGTCATCATATGAATTCCTCTCATGAGATTATCGCTGACTAAACATGTCCATGAATCAATCATGGGGGACGCCCCGAAGTTTAAATGATTCCAGAGAATTAAAATCTCCATGTTAATGAGAGTGTGTATGAGTCGAATGATAGACCTTACACTTATACTGACGATATATTTACGGTTGCTCAAACGAATATAGAGCACGATGATATCGAACCATACTCTATTGCAACATGAAAGCAATGAGAATTTTGGCCTAAAAGCGTACAAGTAATCCAGGTATAAATTTAATATTTGACAAAGAGACAGGTATTTGGTGTGATAGTGCTAATCAACCAAGTGTAAAGCCTGTAGGACATAAATTATTCTTTATTAGAAAACGTATTGAGATAATGAGGTCCTAATTATTCTCACTACGCCCTGGATTCAAATATGAAAAGTTACATACACTTCTCTATTTTGAACACAAAAGTGTTCAACTACTTAATCTTTAAGTAGCCTGTAAAGTAATGGAGACGCAGCTAAAGATTTGGGTCACCAAATAAATGTCTCAATCTTATTTAAGAGCAGTTATGTTTTTATGAAGCACTTATGTTTTTATCAAGTGGTTTTTTTATAACATCATATAAGTTCACATTTGGATTAAATTAATCCATAAGGGAGTGACATACCCGTCTAAGTGACCACTTGACTAAAAAGGGATGCAAAATGAATATATTATGCATTGCGCATTTATAATGGAAATAAGTTTTGTTTCTAAATATCACTATATCTCCATGATATAGGCATAAAATGTACTCATATTTGAACATGAGACATGTTAGATACTTGAAAGTCATAATTAAGATAAAGGATCTTGGGAAACTCGGGTCTGTTTTAAAATTAAACGCCGAGTTGGTTGAATACTAATTCACCAGTTGCATATATCCAAAAGGGTTCTCAGGCAAAATTAACATGGATAAATGTAAACTGTTAGCACTCCCATGATTGGTCGAAATATGGATAATAGAAAAGTTCCATTACTCAAAAGTTACTGGGAGGAGAAATTCCCTATATAAGTGCAATATGCGCATGATTGTACTTTGACCAACACATTCGACCAAATATTACATTCTCAATAACGTGTTAGCTAAAAATAGCGCATATTAACACATCGTATATCGCCATTGAAATGGTATCAAGAATGTGCTTTGATATCTATATGAAACCATTGGAGTAATCACTATTCATCCCTTATAAATTGAATTAAATGATTGATGATAACAATATTCCTAAAGGAATTGAAAATATCAAAAGTGTTACTCTAACACAAAGTAGCGTGATTTGAGTTTTACCGATGATGGGTATCCCTTTACCTCATTGATATTTTCTTAATGAGTATATATTTATCATGAAATAAACCATGATATTATGTTTAAAATACCTTGATAAAAGCATATATCAAGTAAATGTTGGATTTTTATTGCTATGTTTCAGTCAGGAGGAGTCCTTACATACTTATTCATCATCAAGTATATTGGTGCGTTGTACTCTTTTTTTCCTTTTGACCAAGGTTTATTTTTCCCAATGAGTTTTGTTACTTGGAAAGGTTTTTTGAGGCAACACAATATGCACCATCCCACACTTTAATTTTGCAAATGTAAAATTATGTTGAAGGAATTGAAGAACATAATTAATATATCGCAGTCAAAAGTAATTGATGTGTGCTTATTAGTACATCATAGTTTTCCTTTGACCAATGTTTATTTTTCCCATTGAGTTTTGTTCATTGGCAACAATTAAAGTTAATAATTCTTACATTTATCACCTTACACTCGGCACACAGGGGGAGAATTAAAGGAATTATATTCCTCTATTTGTGTGCCTTCATTAAGGTAAGTTATGTGACAAGTACTGGAATGCATGAACTTTTCAAACATCCTTGATTAATGTAACTATTAAGGATATGTGTAGACTTGAGGGGGAGTTCCCCATCTACATTACGTTACACTCTTTTCCCTTTACGAAGTTTTATTTTTCCCATCGGGTTTTGTTACTTGGTAAGGTTTTTAATGAGGTAACAATACATATACGCTTTATTGATCAAAGCAAGGATCAAATAAAGGCAGACTTAATGGAAGAAGTCTACCACAATGCTCTACTCTTTTTCTCCAGTCAAGGTTATTTTTTCCCACAGGGTTTTGTGTTACTTGACATGCTTTTGACGAGGCAACAAGACTGATACCAAATTCTATCTACAACTCAGCATAAGGGGGAGTGTTGAAGGAAATTCTGTGTAGTGTGCTATCGTGTATATAGTATATGTATTAGGATCATTCTATGTAAACTATGTATTATGGGCTCATTGGCCCGTCTCTGTAAACCCTACTATATCCCTATTTATAGGGGCATTCGATAATGAAACTCTACGCAATTCTCACTACAACAAATGAATACCTTCTTAATTATTTTGCTGGTGTATAATGCAAGGGCTTAATAACATAGAAATGAAGGTTGCCAATGAATTTAGAAGCCAATTTGATTAGAAGCTGGAACTAGTTTATTATTAAAGCTGGTGGAATAGGGAGTGAAGGCGTGAAGCTTCCAAGACTATTTTGATACCCACTTGTGTATTACTCCCTACGTCCCTAAATAAACTTCCATTTCGCTTTTCGAGAGTCAACTTAAATCACACTTAAACTCTTATTTTATATATAAAAAACTTATGAAAATTGAATAATTTTTTGCAGGCTTTGTAGCGGGTTTAATGTAGTTTATGAATATGTAAATTTTATTTACTAAAAATAATCCGAGTTTTCACATGGATTATTTAACTTTATCGCTGGTCAAACTTCGTAACCCGTAATTGGAAGTTTTATTAGGGACGGGGTAGTATTATTTTTGTTACAAGTGTTTACTCCGTGTGATAGTTTTAGTTATGTCTTTGTTAGATATGTCTTCTTACTGTACAAAACTCAAATTAGGGGAGTGGCAAATGTACACACTGTTGTAGTGTTGGTTTAGTCTACATAGTTGCTATTGTAAATATACTTGCAAATTACTATATGATTTCCGGTTCAAGCATCTCATAACCCTTCTACACACTATATACATATGTGTGTGTGAATGATGGTACTGAAAAATATATAGGTGACAGTACTTCCTCTCATTTAAAAAATATAATCACAAAGTTTTCTTATTGTGGCTAGTTGTATTAATGACGGTATCTTTTGTCATTAAAAGAACCTTTTAATGAGGGTGAATAGCTCTCATTGCATACTCATTAATAATGGGATCATATACCCGTCATTATTTACTTTTAACCGCGAAAGCTGTAGTGACGGGGTGAGAGGATATTTCTCATCATTAAAATGTTTTTGTGACAGGTATTTACCATTTAACTACGGTATCTCCTGTCACAAATGAACACTATTCTTGTAGTGGTGTTATTTGATTCTATTGAAAAGACAAAACTTACTTAATTAGGAGTGCATGAGTCATATTTTAGGAAAAAATAATGATGTTCTTATTTATACACTATCTAATTTGTGCAAATAGATACGACTAATGAAACTAATTTGTAGGTCGAAGAATTCAATAAATAGTAGCCCAAAAACCTACCAACATTATAATTTTAGGGGGTTAAAACTAAGATGATAATTAAGGACGGCAATAAGGAATCAAACTGAAGCAAGGACATTGGAAAAGGTAGATCTATAATCAATAGAAATGTAAAATGTATGAATAGAGGGAAAAAAATTTACAAGAACAGTCAACAAAAACATTGAAAAGCCCTATGAACATTTGGACTTTGGGAGCAAAAAGGAGGATGGCTCCAGGTTTGGCGGGTGTAATGAAGGACTAATATAAATGAACGATTGATAGTTGGTTTTTAAAGATACTAAAAGCCTTTAATGTAGTGGATTAAGAAACTAATAGCACCTCTTGCAAAAAAAAAAAAACAACTAATAGCACCTAGAAAGTCACTATTATTATAAAAGTACAAAAATGTGACCAAGAAAGTCATATATTTGAAAAAGCATAGTGTCTGCTAGAATTTTATGTCACTGATTATATGTCATTTTTAAATGTCATTGCCGGTTTTCATGTCACTTCCGACGTCAAACGTGTCATTGTGCCGTTAGCCATGTCATTGCGCCGCCACCGACTACTTTTTCCGATAAGAGTGACATCTAGTGGCACCGTTCCACCCGTTGCAGTGTCATCTCTCGCCAAAATCCCATCCGCTACCATCCACCCCCGGCCCTCCCCATTGCCGCAACACCCAAACCCTGCCCCGCCTCACCCCTGACTTTCCCCCAACAACCCTCCCCAGCTCCTACTCAGCTCGGACGCACTCCCCGCCCCACCCTCTTCCCCTACCGTCACACCCTTCCATACTCCCTCCGTCAGTCACCTCCAACCACTTTCCCAGCCCCAGCCCAAATCAAGCTCAGATCTGTCCCCCACCCCTGCCCAATAGATCTATGACAACCACCGCTCCAACTCCAGCCGCCAACGGCGTCCAGTGACCACCTCTTCTCCCACCACTGCCCCATCAGCCAATACCATACCCCACAACGTCTCCGCCAGCCCTACCGCGACCTTGCTAACTCCAGCCGCCACCGTCACTCCGGATCTAGATCTGAAAATCCCTCTTCGCCCCTTGCACCCCACAATCGGAAAGAAATTGAAAAAGGAAAAGAAGATTGTCAACGGAAGGAGAAGATTGGTGACAGGGGATGCGAGCGAGACGGGCGACGATGATGCCAAGCTCGGTCGATGGAGACAAGCGACGGGCGATGGAGATGACCAACACAGTTACACAGCGGAGGAAGCGGCAAAGATGCTTTGTGCGCGGAGGTGATGGCTGCTCTATGCGCGGAGGAGATGGCTGCTCTGTGCGCGAAGGAGAGATGGATGCTTTGGCGTGAAAGATACTTTGCGTATATGCTCGGTGTGAGAAGTTTGCGTCGATTGAAGCCGGGTCACTTTTTTGTAAAATAAAATTTCAGTCATATTTTTGTCAAATTAAAGATAAGAAGTAATATTTATGTCATTATTTTCTTAAAATTCAAGAACAAAATTAGAAGAGTATTGTAAACTTTTTGATAAAGTGAGCCTTAAAACATATACATGTGTGAAGTACTATCTATTAAGAGTGCTAAGCTAACGAAGGGTAAGACAAGGATGCTTAATAGAAAGTTAGAAAAGTGCAACAAAAGAAACACTATGTAGTGTGTACGATTAAGTTTATACAAAGAGAGATACCAATATTTTTACAAAGAGAGATACCAATATTTTTCTTATGATTGTTATGGCCTTAACAACATTCTCTCTTATAATATTGTAGAGATAATGAACTAATATGACTTGGAATCAAGAGCATTTGTAGTAGGCCATGGCTCTTCCAAAGCTATCCCAACTGCATCTAAACAACGTATTCAATACGTAAAAGATATTACAAACATTCATTTGAGTAAATACTTTTATGAAACATCCCCGATAATCAATATCAACAATGTTGACAAAATAACGTAGCGGTAAGCTATTTCCAAAAAGGGAGATTTAAGCTATTTCACGTTGGAGTCCTGATCCTGTCAAGCCGGCCTGACGGAAACCGTCGTCCAGCCGAGGCCATCACAGGCTCTTCCCGGTGGAATTTTTTGATCAAACTTGTTGAGCATGTTACTCGTCAAGTCTAGTTTATCCATACCAAATTGCAGCTAAAAATTCAATCAGGAAGACAGTCAGAAAAATTCCCTACAAAAAATGCGCTGTTTATATATATAATACACCGTTTTCGTGGGGGATTTTTATTACTGCTTTCCCGACTGAATTTTTATATAAAAATTTGGTATAAATAAACTAGACTTTATAAAGGACATGTTCAAAAAATTTCAATCAAAAAATTCCCGTTGTACTAAAAGTCACCCAATTACCCAAATGACCTCAATACGATCTGCCCTCTTTCACGTTGTACTAAAAGTCACCCGCCACTGTGTATAAATTCCCAATATATACTACTCCGTTTACCGGTGGGCGTAGCTCAACTGGTAGCAAGGGAGTGCCACAAGGGTTAGGTCTCGGGTTTCTGCAAGTACCGGAGACGGAGCCCCACTCTCTATCTGTCAGGTTGTGATTATAGTCCAACTTACATCCTCCCATCGTGCTGTTCGGTCGATATTGGGGGCCCTCAGAAATGGGGTATCATCCTTTTTTTTTTCAATATATACTACTCCGCAATAAGTCACCCGCCACTGTGAACAATCAATTTGATTGTAAAATCTTTGTTGGACCTCATGGATTACACAGCCATTACCCCATTTCTACTCTACCTTCCTCTCCTCTTCCCTCTGTATCTCATCTCTAAACACTTCCACCGGAAATTCAAGAACTACCCGCCGGCCCCGTTCCTCGTCCTCCCCGTCATCGGCCATCTCTACCTTCTAAAGAAGCCTCTCCACAAAACCTTAACCAACATTTCCAAGCGCTACGGACCGGTCGTCCTACTCGACTTCGGCTCCCGGAAAGTCCTCTCTGTCTCCTCTCCTTCCGCGGTGGAGGAATGTCTGTCCAGAAACGACGTAGTTTTCGCGAATCGCCCCCGCCTCATGGTCGGGAAGTATGTAGGGCTCAACTACACAGCCCTAGTCTGGACATCCTACGGCGACCACTGGCGGAATATCCACAAAATCCTCGGCGCCGAGGTCTTGTCGAATACCCGCCTCCATTCGTCCCCCGAAATTCGATCAGATGAGGTGAAATCCATGATTAGAAAGCTAGACTCGTATTCAAAAGCGGATTCTCCTGCTGACATGAAGGCCGTGTTTTGCAATCTCATGTCGAACATTATGATGAGGATAGTCACCGGAAAAGGTTATACCGGCGACGATAAGGAAGTGGCTGGTCGATTCAGGGAGATCGTAAGGGAGGTTTTCCTGCTAAGTGAGGCCACCAATGTGGGAGACTATGTGCCATCTTTGAGTTGGCTATCCGTGAAATTGGAGAAGAGCTTGCAACAGGTGCAGCTCCGAAAAGATTCATTCACAGAGGATCTGATTACAGAGTGCCGGGAAAGGATGGTTAACGACGGCGGCAGCGGGGAGAAGAAATCGTTGGTTGAAGTGCTGTTGACACGGCAGGCGGAGGAACCCGAGTGTTACACGGATGAAATGATCAGAGGTCTCGTGGAGGTGCGTTACTTTCAACTCTACTGGACCCGATCGGAACAAAATTGTTTTTGGGAAAAAAATTGCCCAAATATTTTGTTTCTTAAATTTGGGATAGATGGAAGCCTAGTTTGGCCTCCTAGCCGTGCCCTTATTTACACTTGCCATGGATCTATTTTTTAAAATTGCTTCTGTTTTTTCAGAAAACAAAAAACAGGTATTGAAGTATTTACTTGAAAGTGCAGAAGTATTTTTAAATGCTCCAAATTTAAAATTAGATTTCTAAAAACAGTTTTTTTTTTTAATTGGAGGAATTCAACTTTCTGTTTTTTCAGAAAACAAAAAACAGGTATTGAAGTATTTACTTGAAAGTGCAGAAGTATTTTTAAATGCTCCAAATTTAAAATTAGATTTCTAAAAACAGTTTTTTTTTTAATTGGAGGAATTCAACTTTTGAAAAATTAATTTTGATTTTACCTTTGCTTTTAAAAAGAAAGACAAACCGAATCGATTCCAAATATCATTTATACTTTCTCACATAACTCATAGCATTATAAGGCCCTTTGTCTCAAAGTAAAAGATTCTCAAATTAAAAGCTACTCTTAATGTTACAAGACCCGATCCAGACCGTGCGGGTTGATCCGGAAACTGGCGACCCGACTATCATCCCGGTCACTTATTAACCCGTTATTCTAATAAAACCGGATTTAACCGGCCGCCAATTGTCACCAGGACCCGGCCCGGAACTGATATAACTTGGCGGTTGGCACCCCACGTCTTCCAAAAAGATTCTCAATGGAATGAGCTCCTTCAAGAGATTAATGCTTTGAAATTTTAAGACAACCTTCAAAAAAAGAAATGTTTCTTTACTATCCATTCTCACACACGGATAGTGGTAAACTTGAAAGTAAAGTTTTTATATGTGCTCAAGTTTATTAAATGTGACTATGATTATCAATTGGCGGGTCAAATAACATTGCTTTAATTACTTTTTACTAATTTGTAATGTCTCAATATACATATTATCACAACCAAAAACAAAAACCATGAACACAAATATGCATATAGACATATAGTATAATACTTTTTAGGATAGTACTACGTTGTCTACGTATACTTTGTAGTGCCAGTATTTATTAGTGTAATTAAACTAATAAAGCCTCGTGACTCTTAAGGTCATCCCCTGTTATTCTTTAGCATTTTATTTCCATTATTTTTAGCATTCCTCATTGCAATTTTTAGCATGAAGTATGCCCTATTTCAAAAAAATTTAAGTTTACTAATAATGATTGCTTTTTATGTTTAATCTTTACTCTATCAGTGAATTTTATTCTACATATACTTTTTTCATGATTCATTCACTAGAATGAATTATTTCAGTTGACTTTCGTAATTTTCACAAATTTGGTCAGACCACGTTGATCGTTTTAAGTTGATTTGAAATGTTTTTAGATCTTGTATAGCCACACTCAAATTTGATTGAATCCACAGAAATCCCGTTTAATAACTCCTATTTTCAGTTTATTACTCTTATTGACCAATTTTTTTTTATTACCAAAGATGTGATTTTCAATTTTCTGTGTTGAAGACAAGGTAACATAGTTATTGTAGAGGATTATTTTAACTAATTATTTTTTTCATATAAGGTTTTCTTTTTTATTAATAAAATATACTTTGTATTTCAAATATAATTTTTAGAAATTGCTCTGAATAGGTGTAAAAACATTTTAAAAATTCAAAGTAGGACCTTCATATTTTTAATTCCTAAATATAAGTAATATCTGCCAAATTTAAGAAAAGTTTGACAGAAACTACCATGTTTAAAGCCTGATAATGCCAAACTTGACAAAAATTACTCCTATTTAGGGAATAAAAACATGACAGTCCTATTTTGGAACTTCAAACTTTTTTACTTTTGTTTAGGGAATTTTTCCTATAGTTTTCCATAACTTAGCAAATTCAACCAATTCAACCGCTTCAACTAGAATTTTATCAATTTTAGCAGATTCATTTGATTTCAATGGATTCAAACGGGCATTGAATATGCTCAAATTAGTGAAATTTTGCTTGAACCAGTTGAATTTAGTTAATTATGAATAGATTATGTTGTAAGAAAATATGTTATAAGTAGTAAAAAAGTATTTAAATTATATTTTAAAGACATTTTGGATATAAGAAAAGTTGGTAAAGTTGATGGAACTAAGGGAGGAGTATTTACTAGCATACCGTCAATATGAATACATTATGGCCAAGGATCTAAAATAAGGTGACAACTCCGGTACCCTTCTAAAAAATGGGTACCGTACCTACCATTCATTTGATTGGACCACATCACTTTATCATTTTTAATTTAGATTTAAATTATTTAACTGCTAGATTCTCATTGGTCCATGTGAACAAATGTATGGTACCTTATGAGTAGCATATAATATACCCTAAAATAAAGCTTTAAGTCTTAGCTGATCCCGAATTGTGCTCCTCTCCAGTAACTGGACTTTTTCCTGAATGAGAGATATAGAGACATTTTGGGGGAATGGTAGGGCAGGGGAAAATAAAAAATGGGATTTAATTATTATTTTTAAGGAGAGGAGTATGACTTGACTCGCTGATTCCAGTTAATCTTACTGGCCTAATTATGCTTATTTTAAAATGAAATGTTGTGGGATATAATTTGGACTTAGGTGGCTTTATGATAATAGCCACTTATTTATTTAATGAATTAAAAATTAATGACCCAACCATAAAAATAAGTGATTATGGTAGACTAACCCGAGCCATATGACTCAATAGTAGAGTCATATATGGCACTATATAACTAATGCTAGTTTATATGTTTGTGAGATACTGATGAGAGCAAGTGAGATCTATAAGAGATATATACCAAGTTAATATATATGAATGACCAACTTAAAAAAATAGCAAGTACTCTCTACATCCGTCCCATTTTATAAACGAGGTATATGCCTTGTTTTAGTTTGACACCGTCATTAGTAAAGTGGTTGAAAAAGTCCAATTTGTGATTGAATTGTAAGTATACTGAAGTGAAATAACTTGGAACATATATTTCTTTATGAAAAAAATAAGTTACTTGTTTCGGGATAATTTAAAAAAGAAAATAAGACATATAAAATGAAAGAGATAGAAGAAATACTAATTTTATTATACTACAGGTTGTCTTAGGAGCAGGAACAGACACATCAATTGCAACAATAGAATGGACACTCTCACTACTCTTGAACCACCAACAAGTCCTAAAGAAGGCGCAAAAGGAAATTGATGACCATGTGGGACACGCGAGGCTAATTGAAGAATCAGATATGGCAAAACTCCCCTATTTGAATTGCATAATGAAGGAATCAATGAGAATGTACCCTCCTGCCCCTTTGGCAATCCCACACGAGTCCTCCGAAGAGTGCACCATAGCAGGCTATTGCATCCCGAAAGGGACAATGCTTTTGCTCAACTTGTATTTCATCCAAAGAGACCCCAAATATTGGGATGAGCCGGAAAGGTTCAAACCAGAAAGATTTGAAGGCTTAGAAGGAGTTACTGGTGCTAAAGACCATGGGTATAAATGGATGCCATTCGGGTCTGGTAGGAGACGTTGTCCGGGAGAAACGCTAGCATGGCGTGTGATTGGGTTCTCATTGGCGTCGGTTATCCAATGCTTTGATTGGGAAAGATTTGAAGGCGAATTGGTAGATATGAGTGAAGGAATTGGTTTGACTCTGCCCAAAGCATTGCCTTTGATCGCTAAGTGCAAGGCGCGGCCTTTTGTCACCAACCTTCTTTCCACTTATTCAACAACATGATTTTTTGTGTTTTTGTTGTTGTAGTGTAAACATTAGTTTCATTTATTATTATTCATTTACTCAAATCACGCTATCAACTCGAATTAGGATCCGGTAGAGACAGAGTTGCCCCATTATGGTGTTACTACTGATAATATTCTGAATCAATTAATTAAAGTATCCCAATTATTTTATTATACTTGCACCGGTCGTGTTTTTCAATGGAGTTGAAACTTTCTCACGTGGTATAACTTAGTCTAGTTTGATGACTTTGGTTTGTTAAGTCTACTAACGAGCACTTTGTCGTGTGCACTCAAAATAATAAATATAATACAACATTAATACGTTGTGTAGCGTAATATGTGTGTTTGCTATTTACTATTGTATAAATGTAGTCTAGTCTAATTTAATCTAATCTACTTTGAAACTAAATTTAGTCCAAGTGTCCAACTAAAAATCACCCAACTTCATAAATCTAACGGAGTACATTAAATGTGTTTTCTTCCCTTTGATCCAAAAATTCCTTTTTGGATAATTAATTCACATTTTGCGCCAATAACTCAATTTGCTCATAATCACTGGGGTAATTTATTATGCCCGTTAGTCCGTTACTATCATCGACTTCATCTTGCATAACAACTTTTCTGATATGATTTTTCAACATTAAAATGTATTTATATACTTGTATTAAATTACATAATATTTTATAATTATTTACTTTAATTTTACTTCATGGTTTCAACACGAAGTTAAATCAATTATATATATTAATCTATAACTTCAATTTTATTTACGAAATCTTAAAAATTAATATAAGATCATACTCCGGCTAATCCATGAATTAAACACTTGATACATTATTCTTTTATAAAAGGTGCTAAAGCAATTTAAATGCTTGGAATTGAAGTTGGATTCTTTTAATACGAGTAGTATTTATTGTTTAGTAAATTTTCTTTTTTACATAAAAAACATGGACTTTTCTATATAGTTTTTTTTAAAATCAATTATATATATTAATCTATAACTTCAATTTTATTTACGAAATCTTAAAAATTAATATAAGATCATACTCCGGCTAATCCACGAATTAACCACTTGATCCATTATTCTTTTATAAAAGGTGCTAAAGCAATTTAAATGCTTGGAATTGAAGTTGGACTCTTTTAATACGAGTAGTATTTATTGTTTAGTAAATTTTCTTTTTTACATAAAAAACATGGACTTTTCTATATAGAGGTTTTCTTTAAAAAAATATTATTAAAATAAAACTTGTTTACACAATTATGACTAATAGTTACTACAATGTTCCTTCAAAAAAAAAGTTACTATAATGTAGTGTCATAGTAACTTAATTTTAAACATTAAACTTAAATTACTGTGATTTTCTAATCTGGTCTGTTAGAATATATTTTGTATTATTATAAACAGGCCCAGCCGTGTGTGTACTTTAGTAGGGCTCGGTTTATGACCCAAGGGCATTGAATATTGTGTATATATGTACCTCTTGTTATAGGAATAAAGGCAAGAAAAATCTTTTCCTATTTTAACAATTCTCATGGTATCAGAGCGTCAACTTGCTCGTCGAACCCTCCCCTTCGTGAATTGACCGTGATCAAAGTCGCTACACCAGTGCTGTACGCAGACTTGTGATCATGAGTGGCGAAGACAAAATTGATGTTGCTTCTCCATATTATCTTGGCCCTGGAGATCAACCCGGAAATATTATCACTCACGTGGTTCTCACCGGTGATAACTATGTGTCTTGGGCGAGAGCGATCACTCTCTCGTTGAAGGCAAGAAGAAAATTCGTTTTCATTGACGGAACGATTAACAAGGCGACTGAAGCACGAAAATTGTTGAATTGGGAAACCATAAACTCCATGATTGTGTCATGGATTTTGCGTGTTGTTAACGGGAAGATCGCAGCTTCTATACTGTTCCATGATGAGGCTAAACCCCTCTGGGATTACCTCGAATGAAGATTCTGCGTGGCGAATGGTCCTCGGATCCAGTAGCTGCGTGGAGATGTAGTTGTATGCAAGCAAAAGAAGGGAATGAGTGTGGATGAATATTTTAACCAACTCATGTCTTTTTATGATGAATTGGAACGTCTGAAACCGCTGCATACGTGCACTTGTGGAGGGTGCAAGTGTGGAATTGCTGAGAAGTTTGCCGCCGACAGGCAAGAGGAAAAACTTCATCAATTTTTTATCGGGATTGATGATGAATATTACGGCATTACCAGGTCAAACTTGCTCTCACAGCCAACCGCAGTGACCCTTGACCGAGCTTATCAAGCTTTAATTCAAGAGGAAAAATCAATGACATAGCAAAGGGCAAGGCATTGAAGGAGGAAACGCAGGCGTTTGCTTTGCGTGCAGATCCGCCAAATGCGAAACCTGGACGTGTGGATAAGGAGAAGCTTCGTTGCAGTCACTGTCAACAGAAGGGACATGAGGTGACAACGTGCTTCAAACTCCATGGATACTCGGAGTGGTGGACTGAACGAAACCGGAATGGCAAAGGAAACGGGAGCACACGCAACGGTCAAGGCACGTCTCAAGGAAAGAAGCAGGCACATGCCAACTCCCTAGTAGACGAATGCTCACAGACCGAGACTGAGGGGCTGATCGGGCAACTTAAACCGGAGCATGTTCAGGCTTTACTTAATCTGATTAATTCTGAAAATAAAAACTCTAGTGCCGAACGTATGAGTGGTAAGGCTTGTGCTTTTTCTTGGATCCTTGACAGCGGAGCAACGCACCATGTCACGGGTAACATTGATTTGATTTTTCATCGTGCACCAGTTGAGCAATGGACTGTGGGGTTGCCGAATGGGCAACGTGCAGTGGCTACCGTGATGGGAGATGTGCAGCTTTCGGACACATTTGTTTTAACAAATGTTTTATGCGTGCCTAATTTGCAGTGCAATTTAATTTCTATTGCTCAATTGATAGATGATTCAAAATGTGTTGTGAAATTTACAAATGACTTGTGTGCTATACAGGACCAACTCTCGGGGAACCTGATTGGAGCCGGTGAGCGTCGGGACAGACTCTACTAGTATCGTAGCATACCACGCATCCAGCTGATCACTTCTTCTAAGCTAGGGAATTTTGATTTATGGCATCGACGGCTAGGTCATCCTTCTGATCGCATGCTCAAGTTAGTGCCTGTTGTTTCTTCTGCTTCGGGGAATAAAACACTTAATAAGCCGTGTGTGGCATGTCCTGTAGCTAAGAAAAAACGGGATGTTTTTCCTATTAGTGAAAATAAACTTCTCGTATTTTTGAACTCTTGCATTGTGATTTGTGGGGGCCCAATCGGACTCCGTTGTCTTGTGATGCTGTTTATTTTTTAACAATAGTGGATGATTTTTCCCGAGGTGTTTGGGTATATCTCTTACGTAATAAAAGTGAAGTTCATCAAGTTTTTAGTACATTTTGGCTATGGTGGAAAGTTAATTTGCTACTAAAGTAAAAGTTGTCTGTAGTGATAATGGGACGGAATTCACATGCATGACTAATTGTTTTGCCTCTCTTGGGATTATTTTTCAAACTTCTTGTGTGGGTACCCCGCAACAGAATGGTCGAGTGGAGCGTAAGCACCAACATATTCTTAATGTTGCTCGGGTACTCATGCATCAAGCTCATCTTCCGATCACTTTTTGGGGTGAATGCATCTTGGGGGCTATTTACTTGATTAATCATACACCTTCGGGCCTCCTTGCCAACAAAACTCCATTTGAAATAATCAATGGGGTGCCGCCTACGTATAAAGAACTTCGTGTGTTTGGGTGCCTATGTTTTGCATATAATCAATAGGCAAAGGGGAACAAGTTTGCTCTGCGGGGACGCCGATGTGTCTTTGTTGGATATCCCAACGGCAAAAAGGGGTGGAAGTTGTTTGACTTGGAGACCAATGAATTTTTTGTCTCACGATATGTCACATTCCACAAGGTTTTTTTTTTCCTATGCAGCCTCTTTGCCTACCGAGGATGTTCTTGTTTCCACACCGGATATTACTGGCTTTGATGACGAGATTGACTCAGATGTGGAGAATGCCAATGATGGGTCTACGGTGGATGATGTTGGTGGAGAGGCTTCTCCCATTGTTACTGCACAGGTAGTGACTACTCCAACTACCTCCCTGGAAGACACGGCCGAACCTCCAGTTTTGCTGGGACGTGGGCAGCGGGTCCGACAACCTTCTGTTTTATTGTGTGACTATGTTTCCTATGCTACGAGTAGTACAAATAGTCCCGTCTCGGCCTCGACGTCTCCATTCTCAGGTACTCTTTATCCTTTAGCTCACTTTGTTCATTTTGATAAATTTTCTGCACGCCACTGTGCTTTTATAGCTGCAGTGCATGCTGGACACGAACCTCGTTCCTTCTCGGATGCCATGCGACATGCAGGCTGGAGGGATGCCATGGCACAAGAGATTCACGCGTTTTAGGAAAATGGAACGTGGACAATGACTGAATTGCCTCCCGACAAGAAAGCGTTTGGCTGTAAATGGGTCTACAAGACCAAATATAACTCTGATGGTAGTGTGGAACGTCTCAAGGCTCGATTGGTTATTTTGGGAAATCACCAGTTTGCTGGTTTGGATTATGACGAGACTTTTGCTCCCGTAGCCAAAATGGTTACTGTTCGGGCTTTTCTTGCAGTTGCATCCGCCAAGCAATGGGAACTTCACCAAATGGATGTTCATAATGCGTTTCTTCATGGTGATCTCAATGAGGAGGTGTACATGAAACTTCCGCCTGGATTCTCCGCTGGTTCACCACACCATATCGGCGGTTAGTGGGTCGGCTTATTTATTTATCATTTACTCGGCCTGATCTGGCATACACAGTTCACACGTTGGCTCAATTCATGCATGCCCCACAGCCAGATCACTGGGCCGCGACACTTCGAGTAGTAAGATATCTAAAGGGCTCTCCAGGCCAAGGTATTCTTCTACGTTCTGACATCGACTTGTCTCTTTTTGCATGGTGTGATTCAGATTGGGCTAGCTGTCCTATCACTCGGCGTTCTATTACCGGTTGGCTTGTGTTCCTTGGCTCTTCCCCTGTCTCTTGGAAGACCAAGAAGTAACACACAGTGTCCCGATCTTCTGCAGAAGCCGAATATAGGTCCATGGCCGCAGCTACGTCCGAAATAAAATGGCTC